TACAATGTGGATACATTTGTTATCAGAGGCGGATTCAGGATTTTGGGTTCGTGAGTGTTTTATTTTTTTTTTAAATTTATGTGTAACTATTGCCGATCACATAGTATACGCGCATAACTATTTGAACATGACGGTAAAAAAGTTAGTAAAAGAATTTGATGGACTTTGCCACTATAAAAGAACGATTCGTTTTTGAAATGGTCGAACTTTGGAGTTTCTATTTGCTATATAGAATTATTAGGTAAAATAGAAAGAAAAGTAAATAAAAGAGAAAGGTAAAACAAAATTCAGAGAAAATATAGGCTAGAAAAAAGTATAGTAGTATCCGGTCAAAAAAGTGGCTAATTGATAAAATAAAATAGAAGACCTAAGAAGGAAGAAAATAAATGGGGAAACTATAGTGTATGCCTATAAAAGACAAATTATTTACCTTATTTTGCCCATCTTTAAACTATTTGTAACTTTTACATACATGGCCTAAATTTATTACACGCATACCCATTACCCTTTCCCCCGTTTCCCCCCTTTATTCAATAGTAAAGGGTCCGATGTAAATGCAAAGCTCTTCCTCTCTTTCATTATGCAAGCATTTACCTGTAAAAAGGAAGTTTAGTGTACCTATTTTATTTTATCTTTATTTTTTAAAATTGAAAGGAGTTTATTTCTATAATATGCAAAATCACGACATCTATAGATTAGTTATGCAAATAATATTTTATGATAAATATCAATAACAACCTAATAAAATTATAATAAATATAAGTTATATAAAAAATAAATACTATACTAATAGTATAAAATATTTTTATATTATTGTTAATGTATATAACTTAAATCAAAAAATAAAAAATCTCTTAAACTTCAATAACGAATCAACTATGATTCCAGTATTGCTAATGCATGAAATGGTGATGCCTTGCTAGCTGTATCTTATGTTAACTCTTTAAAAGCGGAAACTTAATAATTTATTTTTATATACATTTGCAAAACCCAGTTAACCTATTTATTTTTGAGCAATTTATACTAACTACCTACTCAAGTCAAAATAATTACCTGTTTATACCCATTTTAAAAATAATTGTAATACATACCTATTCCACCAAAATTAATTACCCGTCCATCTATCTCTGCCTAAAAAAGGAGTTGTCATCACGACCTTTTTAGTAGAACTTATATTCAACGAAAGTGATTAAGCTGAAGGCAAAATAACATATCTAAATTTTAGTATAATCGATAATGCACAAAATTGAGTTAATTGTATTATATGACAACTGATATTATTTCAGTTTAATAATTGAATTAAAAAAATCTTTTTTAAACTCTTTGCGTACAATTGTATACCCTGTTAGTATAACTACATACTATACTGGTATCATATGTTAGTTGGAATATTTTTCGGTTGTATTGGCTACATTTAATTGGTACACTATTTGATATATCTTTAGTAATAGTAGAATAGTACAGTATCTTGAATTTTTTTAATTTTTCTTTATGCATGTGTATTATGTAATCATTTTGATTTTTTCTTTATGCGTTTGTTTTATATAATAGTATTATAGTACAATAATTTGAAATACATTATTATATTAATATGTGGTACACTATTTTTTGATTTTTCTCTCTATGCATGTGTATTATGTAATAGTAGTATAGTCATATATAGTTGCCTGAAATTAATTAGTAGAACCGTATACCCTGTTGGTATAATTATATGTCATATTAGTATCATATGGTTAGTTGAAATATTTTTTGGTTGTTTTACCTGCATTTTTAAGTGAATTCTATTCTGAAATTATTTATATGATCATGTTTTGCTGCGTTGGATTTTCTTGTACTTATGGACATAGATTTTGTATATTATGTAACAGTTTTTATAGTTATAAGCAGTTGTTAGAACAACCCCGTATAACTATATACCCTATTAGTATAATTAAATGCTATATTGGTATCATATGCTAGTTGAATCATTTTTTGGTTATATTAGTTGCATTTAATTGGTACATTATTTGATTTTCTTTTAATAATAAGTAATATAGTACAGTATTTTGAAATACTTTATTATAATAATATATGGTACACTATTTTTTTTATTTTTTTCTTTATGCATGTGTGTTATGTAATAGCAGTATAGTCATATAGTTGTCGGAAATTAACAAATAAAATTGTATACCATGTTGGTATAGTTATATGTCATATTGGTATCATATGCTAGTTTGAACATTTTTTGGTTGTTTTAGTTGCATTTTTAAGTGAATTCTATTATGAAATTATTTATATGAACACCATTTGCAGTGTTGGATTTTTTTGTCTCGATGGACATAAATTATGTGTATTATGTAATAGTTTTTATAGTTATAAGTAATTGTTGGAACGACCCCATACAACTATAAAACCTATTAGTATACAGAATGAGCAAGTTGCTTTGCGAATATTTAGCTTGCAATGCGAGTACGTAATTTTCTCATACTTTTATTGCATCCTTTAATGTTTTGGTACAGTAGTATAGTCGCAGATAGTTATAGCAATATTCTAGAGCAATCATATACTATGTTGGTATACATGTATACAATATTGGTGTCATATGGTACTACAAGTCTTTTTTGCTACTTATACTTTTATTGCATTTTCCAATATTTATTATCATTTCTATTCTAACTAGTATATATAGAGATTTGGTAGGCGTAGATTATATTTTCTTGCTCCATAACTGATTGTGTTACTGCTAATGGTAGAGTGTGTACTGATATTTGCAGGGAAGGAGATCAAGGTTTGCATGACAATCACGAGTTGATTCTTAGAATCTGATTATGTAATTTATGGTGCTCAACAACAGTTAGTGTGATATTCAGTGAATTAGATCAAGTGACGATTAATATTATTTTAGTTTAATAATTGAATTAAAAAAATAAGAAAAAGTCAAAAGGTATATTATACTAGTTACATTAAAAAAAAGATGAACAAATATTTACTATATCAATTATTTTTTCTTATTGTATAAAAATAAGAATAATAAAAAATAGTGAAAACAGTAAATGAAATTAGATTATGAAGAGAAAAAATAATATAAAAAAGAAGTTAAATGAAATTAGAAAAGGAACAAGAAATAAAGAAAATAAAAAAGGAGTTAAATGGAATTAGAAAAAGGAACAAGAAACAAAGAAAAATAAATAAATAAATAAAAAAAGGAGTCAAAATTGAGTGTGAAATAAGTTATGATAAAAATAACAATAATACGATTTGGGCAAATATAAATGAATAGAAAAAGAGAAAAAAAAGAAAAAAAAAAGAAGAAAACGAGAAAAAAGAAAAGTAGAAAAGAAAGGAAAAAAGGAAAAACGAAAAGAAGCATAGAAATAAAAAAGAATTGGATAAAAAAGAGAAAATTCCCCACAAAAACTACTATGGGTAGGAAATATAATTAATTTGATGGGTAAAAAAATAAATGGATAGATAATGGTAAATGATTTTATTTTTGTGGGTAACTGTGTCATTCACCACATTTAATATCCTTCTTTGACCAAAGCACCTACCAGGCTTTTTGTTTCATGGGTATTTCCTGTTTCGTCATATAAATTGTAGAAATTTTCTATATAACTATACATACCTCATGTTAAGGTTAATGGGTGATGAATCACCCAAATCTTGTATGTAAATCCGCCACGACTTGTTATATACACTTACCTTACAAAGTTGCTTCCACCCACCATTAAACCTCAATCTCAAAATCATAATCATAATTTTCTTATTAACAAAAAGAATTATTAGCATCAACAAGCACCATTTTTGTAAAAAATCACTAAAGTGAACACAAAAATGTTGTCCGAAAATCAGCACTTCTCAGTTAAATATATTTAAATAAATTAGTTATTTTGTTTCATTGTGGAGCAGATAATGAAAATTATAGAGCATAGAATGCAAGCTTATGAGGAAACAGTAGGGTTGAACTAATCTGAGATAGAAATAATAAAATTAAGCTACATTTTGCAAATTTTGAAGACAAAATGGAGGAGGAAATAACAGAGGGCTTTTGTTTAATAACTTAAGGCAAATAAGGCCGGCGGACAAAGCAAAAGCTAAGGAGAAGATGAGAAAGATTAAGCAACTCAATGTTTTAAATCAAGTTTGATATCTGTAATTTTTTGATATAAGTGAATTATATTATAGATAAAAATTTAAATCAAGTTTGATATCTGTAATTTTTTGATATAAGTGAATTATATTATAGATAAAAAGAGAGAGACAGGTGGAGAGAGAATTAGATGTATCGAGCATGGAGAAAGGACAGAAAAGAAAATACTTTACAAGTGTGTCTTTAGTGTCGGAGTAACATATAGAAACTGGGCCAAATCGATAAGAAGCTAAAATATGAGTCCAATTTGATTGAAATATTGCGCAGCTAATAATGAAGGTTATCTTTTTTATTATTATTACAGGAAGAGGAAGGGAAAAGGGAACAAAACATTATAATATATGGAATCCGACTCCTTAGCACATAGTAAAAGATGAAAGACTACATTACGAGCCACCTCCCGACGATATTTTCTATTTATTGAAAAAATAACGGTAATTTAAGACTTTTATTTAAAAATTAGTTAGAGCTTATAAAGTTTAACCACTTTAAAATTAATCTCAAATTCACGAAATTGAATAAAGTTAATAATATTTATCAGGCGCTGACTTATTGAGTATGAAGTTAAGCTTGAAGAGTCTTATAACCTGTTTGGTTTTTTTTTTTTTAAAATTAAAGTGTTTGGCCAAGTTTTTAGTAGAAAAAATACTTTTGAGTAAAAATAAAAATATTTTTGTGAATTTTTTTAAAATAACTTATTTTCAAAAATATTTTTTTGAAAAGTACTATTGAAAAAAATACTTAGAAGTACTTTTTAAAAGTCTGGTCAAATAGTAATTGATACTTAAAAATATTTTAAAATTGATTAGCCAAAAGTATATTTTAAGAAAATTCCGGTAATTTAAAAGCACGGCCAAACAGACTACTTTTGGTATGGGCGGGAGGTTTAGGCGGGGGCCCATAGACCGGAAAAGATCAGGTGAGCACATCGAAGAAACCCTAGTAATATCCCAATATCGCCAAACCAAGTGCTTCGTGGAGGGAGAAACGTAAATTCCAGTCAAAAGAAAAATCTCCCTCTCCGTAGTCCGTCCCATCGGCCAAATGCTAAAAAAACATTGGTCCCATTCCCAGTCTCAACAAACACGTTTTATCCTTTTCGACGATCTATCCTCTTTTGTCTTGTTTTTCTCCGAATGAGATACACATGCTTGAATTCAGGAATAGTATTCCAAATGCGGCGAAAGTCACAGCTCGAACAATCACTACCTACTAATATTTTAGCGTTTCCCTTTTGGAGTTGACAGAAATATGGCTGCGGAATCCCAATCGCAGAAGAAGAGTTACTGTATCGTCGGAGATGTATATCGTGGTGTCATGATTGTACCCAAGGAGTTGGACCTTTCTCCTACCAAGGATCTCATGCACCATCAAATTAACCTTCAACTCAAGTTCCCTGACGTGGGTCGAGCCTTTACCGTAAGTTCATTTTCATTCTGATTGGACCATTCAGGCCTCTAATGTTACTTTACATTTCGTCCGTGAACCTTGGCTTAACAATGTAGTTGGCGGAAATGCATTCATTTCTGCAGAATTTTACCAGGACTAGAGAAGTCGGTGAATTTCTCAGTGGTGCTTTGGCTGGGGCGATGACCAAGGCCGTTCTAGCTCCTCTTGAAACCATCAGGTTGTAAGATTTACCATGAAGTTTAAAACTGATAGTTACTAATTGATTTCCATTTCTGAGGAGTTATATCTATTCCATCATCTGGATTATGTAATTTCCATAGTGAATTTTGGTAAGATAACTTAATTAAGATATAAAAGCTCCTCGTATAGGATATGAACTTTTGACTTGGATGAATTTTTATTTCCTTTCAGCTGGCTCTTACAATTCAGTAGGTTATGTTACCTCATTTTGTTATTTAAAACATGCAGGACAAGAATGGTAGTCGGTGTTGGGTCCAAAAACATTGGTACAAGTTTTATTCAGGTTATTGAGCAGCAGGGTTGGAAAGGGCTGTGGGCTGGTAACACAATCAACATGTTACGGATAATTCCTACACAGGCAATTGAACTTGCTACATTTGAGTGTGTCAAGCGAGCAATGAATTCGGCACAAGAGAAATGGATCAATACTGGCAACCCCAAGCTACAGATTGGTAATGCTAGCATGAGCTTTTCTCTCTCATGGCTGTCGCCAGTTGCTGTTGCTGGTGCTGCTGCTGGAGTTGCAGGCACACTTGCATGTCATCCGCTTGAAGTGCTGAAGGTATTGACTAGAGATCTTTTCAGTGGGGAAAATAGCTTTGCTTTTCAGAGTGTTAATGATGATCTTCATAGTTGTATCATTAAGTTATTGTGCTTGTTATGACTTATGAGCTTGTGGAAAGAAAAAACGATCTGACATTTTGGTGCTGATCTTCACAGGATCGGCTGACTGTGAATCCTGAGGTCTACCCCAGTCTATGCATTGCAGTTCACAAGATTTACAAGGAGGGTGGAATTGGAGGCTTGTATGCTGGACTTGGGCCAACAATAATTGGCATGCTCCCATATAGCACTTGTTACTATTTCATGTACGAGACAATGAAGAAATCATATTGCCAAGCACAGAAGAAAAAATCTCTAAGCCGTGCAGAGATGCTTCTTATTGGAGCTTTCTCGGGTAAGAATCTCGAATCAAACACAGTAGCTCTCTTTGGTTCAGATTTGCTTGAACTTAATAGTGATCTGCCATTTTGTGATAAAAAAGGGCTGAGCTGAAACTTCTAATTGTCAACTCTAGGGACATTTAGATCATTGCTTAAAAAACACCTTTACTCCTAGCCTAAGTCCTTGTTTCCCCGAAGATTTGTGTATCATGATCAACTTAAAATCTGGAAGTGCTGACTTGGAAATTACAGGTGGCTGTTGAACTGTTCCAGTAGCAGTTCAAGATTGTAGTAGAGTTGGTCCATTGGACTTGCGAAAGTTTACGACTCAAAACCAGATAATCATAATGGGAAATGTTAACAAATTGTCCTAAAAAAAATTAATTTGCTGATGCAGCAAATTCCTGCTATCTAAGGTCCATAAAGTATGCAGGTGCTGTGATGCTTGAATTGATAATTCTCTATCACAATTACTGGATTTTGCGTTTAAGGCCCTTCTTATGTATCACGCTGGTCAAAAGAACAACACCAGAACAAAGATGTAATGTTTTTGTAGTATACTGGAAGAAAAAGGGGAAAGACTGAAACAAGCCTGTGATGCTTTTCTCCTTCGGTGCACGAGATCAAAAGAGCAATACCAGGACAAAAAAGTAACATTGCTGCAGAGAGGATAAAGGACATTCATTGTACAGATTCTGACCAAAGGAGGAGCATCATACATTTAAGTATTTTTTTGATAAATCATTCTGCTGGGGAGTGTCTATAAGATTATAATAGAGGCGCTAGCGAGGTGACTAAGAAGGGATATGGTTTATCTTACACGTGAAATGCTTTTGCTGGTAGAAGACAAATATTAGACGCAAGTGTAATTGCAAAGGAGAAAGGACATTTGTTATACAGATTCCGAACGAAGGCGGAGCATCGTACATTTAAGTATTATTTTAACCAATCATTCTGGTGGTGATTGTCTATAAGATTAGCAAGGACACTAAGAAGGATTATGGTTGAACTTACGTGCAAAATGGTTTTGCTGTTGTAAGACAAATATTAGACGCAAGTGTAATTATGAATGAGCAATTGGTTGTGGTGTTGCTGAGCAATTGATTTAAGTGTGATTGCCATAATGTTGCTGAAGGGGGGAACCCCTCTGATGATGAGATGGTCCAGCGAGTAGGGATATAACGGGATCTTTACGAAATATCCAGAAATATTTTGGTGTAACAAATCTATGTGCATTTGGCTAAACCAAAGGAATAAAACATGAAGTTCTTTCCTAAAACAGCAAATGCACACCATTGATATAATCACATCGATAGTGGTCAACACAAAACAAGATAAGTAAATTAGAAAATTCCTATAGGATGGAGCCGATAGAGATAAAGATTGTGATCTTGTTATTGGAGCGTGGTTTCTATTTGGATGGAGGAAAATGATATCAGTTCTGATAGATCCCGTATATTAAATAAGCAGACATAATAAATCTTTGATATATTTGATTTCCTAAAATAAAGTTAAAATTTTGGACTTCACGAGGCAAGTCAAAGGACTTCATCATTATTGACCTCAAGCTTTTATATGTTAGTATATGATATTTTATTCTTTGGGCCACGGGTAGAACACCTGGTAAAGAGACCCAATCTTGAGTGAAATAAATACCGCAACTTCGATCTTGTTCAAAAAAAAAAAGTAAAAAATAAAAATTGGGTTGCGCTATAGTTAGCTCAGCACCAATCAAGAATCCCCAAGGAATTCCAAGAATTCTTGTTATACATTTGTTCCAAATCATATAGAATCCTATACCAATTTTTCTTTTGCTAGGCCCATAACTAAAAAGCCCACTTTCTTACGATTACGAGGTTTATTCGAATATGAAATCCAATAAAGTATTGCCCACTTTTAAAGCTCCTTGGACTGCAAATAGGGATGTGATTTTATTTGGGAATATCTGCTGTTCATTATGGTATGCCTTTTTAACCTTGATGAGACTCTATCTGCTTTTATGCTATCTTACTGTAGCCAGTTGTAAGATTACCATGCATTTCTTAAAGAGTTAATGTTATGGTTGATCAGGTTTAACAGCTAGCACTATCAGTTACCCATTGGAGGTGGCAAGAAAGCGGCTAATGGTGGGTGCTTTGCATGGTAAATGTCCACCTCACATGGTGGCAGCACTTTCAGAAGTCATTAGGGATGAGGGTTTGTTAGGCCTTTATAGAGGCTGGGGTGCGAGTTGCCTAAAAGTAATGCCATCATCAGGCATTACTTGGATGTTCTATGAAGCTTGGAAAGACATATTGCTTGCTGATAGACGTCATGTGTTACAGTAGACATAGTAGCACAAGAAATGAAATCGTATTTCCACCCTCCCATGTGTACAATGATTTGACTACTGTAACGTACTCAAGCTGGAAGCTGGCGATGGTAGGATGGGTCAACCGTGGTGTCTGTCATCATGAGATTCATTATAGCTGTGCATCCAGAATTTTTGTTTGCCATCTTCCCCACTCTTCCGTGTGCACTAAGAAATTTCTTTAACATTTCTGTAAACGACAGAACATGCATTTATGATTACTGCAAGAATTACAGGCTTTTGCCTTTGTAATTTCTTCGAGTACTTGTTTCTCAAGGGTCAGTGTTGTGGTACTACTTGGTTTGACCAGATAAACACTCTTAAGCATATCATGGCAAGGGCAGTCAAGTTTGGAGAAGCAAATGGGCCAAAGTTTGTTTTATTCTCCTACATGTTGATAATGGGGACAACGGGGGCTTCTGATTTTGGTGTACTTGGTTGATGCTCTGCAGTGTTCATGTTTTTCTATTTTTCTTTATGTTCATTTGGTTGATGCTCTATACGGCACGCATAAGTTGTGTAATGGTGCAGAGTACTTTACTTGGTAGAAACTTGTTGATAAATTAATGAGACGGGAATATCACATTACGATGATTTTCTTCTTGAAAGGAATTCTTAAGGAGTGAGTGTATACTTTCCATTTTTGACCGTCTCACCAAAATGCTAGCTTTCTTACAAAGGAGCATTTAAAAATATATAATACGCCTAATGATTTTATTGGACATTAGGCTAGCCTTCTTTTATACAAATCTGTTTTAAGTTGCAAAGTTTAAAGAGTTTACAAAGGATCTCACCAGCCTTCTCAACTATAAGTAATCTTTCTCATTCTTTAATCATTTGAAAAATTAAACTAAAACATTTAATTTGAAATAGAAGAGCCATGGAAGATCATGTCAAATATATAATGGGTCATGCTGAGATGGTGACCCAAGTTAACTGGTTGCTCCGTTTCCAGCTCTCATATATGCATATTTAACTGAGCGATTTATAAAATGCGTAAGATTGTTGTTTTTGATTGGCAACAATGCCCTGAATTGCTTTTGAGCATATTTTGTAGAAAGCCACGTCCAAAGCAAGCAAATCTTGTCAACTAAATTTGGCGTGCACAAAATATTTCTCCCAGAATACATGCTTGATTATTCAAGATATCTACATTCTTGGATACAGTTGGCAAATAAAACAACACACTATCTTCGTGCCTGGACAATCAATGAGCTTAAGCAGTAAGCACAGGTGACCCCTACTAAAGGCCAGACAGGCACTCTCATACTGCTGCTTACTGGACAATCAACAGTCAAGCTGCTGGAAACAATTCTACCATCCACCAAACGAGTATAAAACTGACAATTTTGTTCAACAATCTAGGGTTCACATGTTCCAATATCTGCATGACAAATGGTAGAATGTGCAAACATGTATTCATAGGTCAAAACACTAAAATTCTTCAAAACATGTCATAGATAATCAAACACAACAGCTGCATCAAATAATAACAACTTGCAGCTGTGCAAAATAAAGCAGAGCACTTAAACTCTACACACCTTCATCAGACAGCTGCTCAGAGAGCTGTTCAAATCGAGCCACTATGTGTTTTCCGTAGGTGTATTTCTTCAAAGCATGAAGATGAACTCTGATTCGACTGAGCAGAATTTCACGGTGCTTATCGTTGCTAATCTCGAGAATCTTCTGGACCACATAATTCGCAAATTGGTCCTTCATCATCGACTACAACAAGAGCCAAAATTGCCCAGTGAATATGTCAATTTACGCAAGAAATCATTTGTCATTATTTTGAAAATATAAACACTTTACATTCACCATATAGAAAAGTGAGAAAAAGGATAATAGTGCCACACAAAATGCTAAACATACCGTTGAGACCACTTCCTACCCAAATTAGTCTAAAGGTCAATAAATCCATTACTATCTCGGTCTTGGAGGACCAACCCAAGTGACAAGGGTGAGACCCCTAGAGTCTAAAGCTTCCGTCTTCCTGGAAGTACAATTAGTTGTGCAGTTCATGATCTCTTCCAAGCTACTTTCAGTTGGCAATTAGCTTCACTACTTTTAAACCACCTCTTTCCATGGTGGGTAGATTGTACTACAAACAAGCAGAGCAAGAGAAACCCATAGATGATGAGATGGTGGACAAGCTAAGAGCTGTGACCATGAAATGCATCCCACAACATCACGACAGGTGGCCATGGCTAGTTTAGCACCGTTTCATAGCTGGACCATTAAGATAACCAAAACTCGTATGCTTTCCTTTTGAAAACAAAAAAATGTACAAACTTGCAACAATTGATGTATAGGATCCTCAACATATTGAGAAAAGGTCTTTTCCCTTCTCAACTAACAATTTATTCGAGTTATCCTGTTTCCATTCATTCCCTCTTCTTCTTTGGCTTTCTTCTTAATTTGGCTATTATACTTCTTCTTCCCCTTCTTAATCTATGACTTTTAAAGGCTATTGAAGTGACTAATTCCTGGAAATTAGGAGGCGTTAAAAACAAAGAAATTGTTGGAGTTTCTATGGATATAAGGCTTTAATTGATAGAGATAGAGGAAGCACCGTAAAGATCAATTAGCAAGGTTTTGGGCCGATACAATAATAACTGCGTACTTATGTCATGATGGAAGAAATACTTATCTCATGATGTGAGATAAAAATTAGGAATTAACTTATGTAATAGAGTCGATCCACTAAAGTCTTGAGCGGTGTAGGATCAGATCCCAAAGACAGTAAGTATTTTCTTTCTTATGAAAGAAAGTCTTTTTCAAATGAAGTATAAAGGGTACTATAGGGTCCTAATTAAGATCTACTCAGTCAGTACACTAATTCATAGATAATAAGTAAATATACCCATCCTCTATTCTGCAGTGTCCCATCCAATAAAAGGTCAACACCGAATACTATTATTCCAGTGACCCAAATCAAATATCTGAGATGCACATTAGAATCTGTTATCAAAATGAACTTTCTCCTTTCACCTGCACTTACGCTTCTTTCCTAGGCAGAATCCTTTGAACAATTTAAGAAAAATGTCTACCATCCAAAAAAAGATTTTCTGAAGGTGGCATCATTTTATGTAGAACAACTTCAATATTTCCCATCACTGGAAACATCCTTCAGATAACCTTTCAATCAGGAATCAGCACAACATCTTTTCCCCCTATTACGATGTGTTTGACTATTTCTCCTAAAAGGTTCTCACAAAGTCTAAACTGGAAAAAGTTATTTTGAAGTGAAACAGAATGAGAAAAAGATTGCAAGCTGATGAGGCTAAAGAAAGAGCTACGATATAATTCCAACTCCAAATAGCAAATTGTTGATATATGAGTTCGGTCTGAAGTTTTCAAAAAACTACCATCTGATGGTAGAATTCTACGTTTTACACCTCAACTGAAGCCCGGTTGAGAAAATAGTTAGTACAAATACGCAGGGAATGACCCAAAATTCAAGGTTAAAACATCTCAACTGAAGCCCGATTTAGAAAACAGTTAGCACAAATAGGCAGGGAATGACCCATAAATTTCTTTGGCAAATCACCATCAGTGAGTAGTGAGAAGTTGGCTTAACTCAGTTTAGGCACATGGCTTTCCTCGTCCTTTACAAAGAGGTTTCATGGAAATTGCTATGTGAAAAAGTTGATTACAGCATCGCATATGTGAAAAGGAAAGTAAAGAATAGTAAACAAGATTCAAATCATCTCACCAGCAAATTGTCATTTGCTTCTGAATCTGCAAGAATCTCCTCAATCAAAAGCTCCCTCTCAGCAGAATCACCATATTCCAGACATTTTTCAACAACGTTTGAGGCATATTTGTGTTGACTTAATTGTACAACATTTCCGATCAACTTTTCAATAATTCGACTTCTTTCATGTGGTTTTCCCCTCTCCAGAACATGCTGCAACGACAAATTCAGTTTCACACAACAATTGAACAAAATTCTTATGATAATACTACCTGCGCCCCTCAGTCCATCCCTGTCCCAAAAACAAATTATTTCTAGCACGTCGTTTAGAGTCATTTATTTTTCGGTCTTCCATTTTTTTTAGGTAGGGGGGAGGGAGGGGACAGTTGGGTCATGGTGCATGCTGACAACAATAGTAGACAACAACAGCAGCACAAACACCCAAGAAAACCAAGGGGAATGATGATTTTATATTTTAGTTCTTATCAAATGACATTGATGTCTAATTAATAAGAACATGCCAGTCAATAAAAGCAATGGCCCAAAGCCAAAATTCAAAAAGATGTTACAAACATTTAATAGAATTTATGTATATTTTTATTTATAGTTTACTCTTCAAAGTTTTTGAGAAATAGAAACAGTTCATTCAAATATATTGAGTTAAATTTGAAAAATGAGATTGTCAGAATGAGCAAAAAGAGAATAGATTGAATGCACGTGAAGAAGGAAAAATTAGAACCAACAATTTGAAACCTTTTATTTATGTTAAAAATTATATATTATCTATACAATTTTATAAAACACGAAACCCCAACACAAAGTATTAATCGAATTTTCTACCCTACAATTGTAATTATAGTTAATTATCAAAAAACTTCATTATTTTTTTGTATTCATTATTTGACCTTTTTATTTAATACAAAATTATTTACCACAAGAAAACTGCCATCTTTGTTTAAAGGTCACAATTAATTGTTAAAGATTTCATTATATCCTTGTGTTCATTAATTGACCTTTTCAATTAAACAAAATGACTTCATTATTTCATTGCATTATCATGATATTACGAATGTAATAAATCTACTTTACAAGAATTAAGTTATTATTTCAATTTTTCAAGTTTCCAACTGTAGAAGTTTGTGTAATATTTTAGAACTTTGAATTAACTACTAAAATCTCCATATTTGTCAATAATGTTTTTGATAACAAGAACTAAGGTAGTGTCTTGATACAAATGGCTTTAGTGGCCTCACCCTTTAGCCAGCCATAAATAGAAAAGAATTTACAAAACACTTAAAATATGTCAGTATAAGATGATAATGCCCTTAGTTACAACATGCAAATTAACCTTTCTTTTGGTTTATGTGCTTTTTGATAGGGTTGGAAAACAAATAGTTGCATATAAAGAACATGAAGTTACGAAACTTGAGGATGAGACAAAAAATTATTGCATATCACATGGAAAAAAGATACAAACCTGGGTGACATAGTTCCCATACTGATCTTGAGCAAGAGCATAAGCAGACTCCAAGATTTCATGCACTATACACTGACTTTGAGAGTTTTCTGAACAACGTTCCAATACTCTCTTTGAAAAATTCACACGAAATGAGATGAGTCAATTGAAATATAAAAACAAAGTAACTATATATCATGGTACAACGTAGTTTAATATTACCTGGATTACACGGCAACCATAGGGATGAGTAGACAATATAGCTACTTGGCTTTGGAATGAGGAGATAATAAAACTATTTTTTTCAGTAGGTATGCACTCAATGCATTTTTGGATTACATGGTTTCCATTTTGATCTCGCACACACCTTAGTACATGCCCATTGAGTTCATGGACAAGTTCTATTTTCTGATCAAGATCGATAACTTCTAGGGCCTAAAAAGAACATCAACAACAAGAAAATTCATTTTTGATCATATAAGACACGTGACTTCTTTTTTGAGAAAAATAAGACATGGCATCTTTAAGCATAAAATATTCTCACTTGGATGAAAAAAGAAAAAAGAAACCCCTACACTAGAGCACACAAAACAGTAGCAGAACATATCTTCACTTCTCCGATACAATAATGGAGCCGAGAGTCTACCAGAAACAACATTTCTACCTTCTCAAAATAAGGGTAAAGTCTGCGAACACACTACCGTCCTCAGACCTCATTTGTGGGATTACATTATGTTTGTTGTTGTTGTTGTTTCTCCTATATAATAATGAAATAACTGTATGGCCTCAAACTGCACTAAGCAAAATTGTAGACCATTATGTATAACCTATAAAAAGGACACTACAATTTGCTTTTTTTTTTGTTTATTTATTTATTTACTTACAATCTGCTTTCATTTTTAAATACAGGCTGAATCAGCTCGAGATCTAGTTGATTAGCAATATACGTAGGCGCTTGACAATATTTGAGTTGAAGTTGAAAAAAAGTCTTACTAAAGTTCATGTTGAAAGATATTTGTGGAAGTTAAAGCTACGTTTGGACATGAACTTCATTTGAAAAGAAGAAGATTTGCAAGCGGAAACCAATATTCCATTTGAAATACACCTTCTAAATAAGAATTTCAATATTTCCCTTACAATTCAAATACTAAATTTCAATATTTGCAACTACTTGTGGCCAAATATTGAAATATTAGTATTTAACTATTTTCCCAAATAGGTAAGTGAATCTAAAGAGTCAAAAATTGGTCGAAGAATCGAAGTATATATCATCAAAACATTAATGAAGTGCAAATGGGTAAGAAGGCTAAAATATGATATATTAACAATTCTGCTAAATTTTAAACTTTACCATTATTGATTTATAGATGATATTTCTTAGAGAGCATGTATATCAAGAAATTCTTCAACATGGCTATTCACCAAGTCAAATCAAGGATCCTACATCGAGAAACTCTTCAAAAATTTAGCTACTATTTTAATAGTCTCTCCTTTTTATTGGGGGGAAGGGGGAGGTACTATTTCAATCAAGTTTCTCAGAAGTACATTAGCAACAAAAGCCTGCTCGAGGGCACTACTTTTTACATGATGTAGTGGACAATATTGTTTCCAACATTGTTTTGCCACATTTATGCAAGCACGATCTGATTCAAGTCTAGAAGGATTGAGTAATACTGACAAGTACCTGGGGGAAACATTAATGACTATATACATAGGTAAATGTGACTACCGCTCTTTAAAATCTAACGGCCAAGGCTTGGAAGCTTATGCTCTAGTGCAACAATTTTTTATTCATAAAAAAAAGGACAGGGTGCACTAAGCTCCCGCTATGCGTGGGAAAAAATGTTGCAACACCCACCGTGGGGCTCAAACCCACGACCACAAGGTTAAGAGCCTTGTGCTCTACTAATTCACAAGACAATAATTTTATTAATTGGGGAAATCCCCCTGGACATGTTGCATGCCATGCAAGAATAACGACCACCTTCTGATTCTAATTATGTTTGTGTACTTGAATTGAGAATATACCTTTTGAATAACACGACAACCATACATTTGCAAACTTAAAGGCAGCATCTGTCCTTTTAATTGACATGCCAACATCTTTCTTTGCTCATGACTTCCATGCTCAAAGAACTGGACACAAAATTCAGATATGCAATAGTTTAACATGCTGGAAGGTCAAAGGCTCAAGGGTTTGAAAATCTTAAAATGTCAAGACGAGACGTAAAAGTACAGAGAGAACCAGAGTGGACACCTTTTGAATGACATAATTCCCAAACACATCTGTCATTAGTTTTGAAGCATGTGGAAGAATTTCTTTGAAAACAGATGCCTTCTCTTCAATACTACATTTTTCCAATTTCTGCTGTATAAACCGACTCCCATGCTGATCAACACTGAGGTTAAAGAACCATTAACTTAATTTCACATCTTCGGGATTATAAAGAAATTTTACTACACAAGCTACATGGTAAACATATACTACCTGAATTCAATTACACGACCTGCAATATCAGGGAGGTCAATTCTTCGAGCATTGCTTTGTTTCAGTTCTTCGAGAAATGAATGTCTTTTAGAATCATTAAAGCTACCAGAACCTCTTTGTGCAGGCCATCCAGAACACAATCCAATATTTCTACCTGAAGCAGGGGTAGATTTAATTTCACTCCTTCTACCCATAGGGGATCCTGGCAATACAGGACTACCAAGAGGCGAGGCTGGAAACTGTTGTGCGAATCCCAGGCCTGATGGACTTCCAAAATAACTATTACCAGGAATTATCACTTTTCCAGGACTTGGTAAGTTCAGGCTTCCAACAGGTGGACGATTAAAATTCTGTTCAGCAATATAAGAAGGGAGATTTGGCTCCATATTTGAGGCATAAGCATCAACTTCTAGCCCAACCAGGGCCGATGATGGAAACCGCATATACCGACCAGGAGCAGCGTGTGAATCATCAACAGGATGATGAAAATACTGCATATGGAAAGGATCTGGGAAAGAAGGATGCACCATTAACCCATGATGCCCATAAAACTTGGTTACATGTTGCAGATCACCAATTTGTGGAATGTTTTCTCCTGACGTAACACTTTGACCACTGATGCTTCGTCCAGAACCAGTATTAATATGCACAGATGGACCAGAATGAGATGGATATCCAGCTACAAATGGAGGAAGAGAAGGCGAAGCCAAAGCATATCCCCCTACATTGTAATGAGGGGCATATACACCAGGTGGACTCAAGTTAGAATAGTATGGGTTGCCGGAAGCCATATAGGCTGCAGCTGTTGCATATAGAGGAGGCGTGAGGCCAGAACCTTGAGGAACTGCTTGTACCTCAACTGAGGAGAACCAGCTATGACCATAACCTTTTGCTAGGCTACTCTGTAGTGTATTAGTCCCAAGAACATTTGCTTGAACTTGTGGACTATTAACTTGGTAAGCTGCGAGTCGTTGGGAGTGATACTGCTGCTGCTGTTGCTGTTCTACTCCATTCCTCCCATGAAAATATTGTTCATCCTTGTTGTTACTAACCTCTGGAGCTGGAAAGTTCTTCGAAATACCTGATGCTATCCCATCACTGACTAAGAGCTCATTCACCAGAGGTGCATCACTAGCTGATATTTCACCCTTCTGAGGGGAAGGAGACCTCCCAAGACTGTCAACAGAAGATTCTTTTTCAAGAGAAATGGCCAAAGACTGATCGAGGACAGCTATATCATGGTCACCTGAGACATCCGCACAAGCGCCTGCACCTGGTTTATTTGAAATGTCAACGGAGAGACCGTCCAGTTTAATAGATTGAATATCACAATCAGTTGGTTCCTCCACAGCAACATGACATGAGGGCCGAGATTGATTGTAAACTGGTGATGGAGTGCGAGGGAAATCCTCCTGTGATCAATTAGTCAACAGTATAAGTAGCATGGAACATGAAAAAATAGCACTCCAGAAGTCTAAACGATACTATCTTCTCATTCATTAGCACAATGTACCCACAAGTCGTGGCAACATGCCTAGTATTTCAGGCCTAACTAATTAGAGATTAGTGTACCAAGCAATTAGATCATCACTGTTTCCCAACATCAGCAAGCCACTACAGTATTCATGAGCTGAAGGCCCCACAACTGTAACCATTGTCAAGTTCACATTTTTTTTATTCGTTAAAACACAGACCATCACGGAGAGAATTCAATGTTGAATCCAATGCAAAATTAGAAGAAAATTAAACAAAACTAGAATTCCAACATATGAAGTTTTACGGGCTGGGTATTTATCATAGCTTGCCAATCAGTGCGGATACACGCTTAAGAAAAATTAAGTAAAACTTCTTAGATGTTGACAAGTCTACACATGCAAACAGAAACTTGGAAAAAGAAAATAATACACATAATGGGAAAGGTATTCTTAAACTTCAATACCTGGATTAGGTCAACTAAACTTTTATGTTGACCTGCAAAGGAGGCCATGTGCTGTCCTGAAGCACGACTTTGGGCCAGATCGTCTAAAGCACTTCGTGGTAAATTTTCATCTTCAGGCTCCTCATCATGAGTTGAAAGAGAACTTCTACTCACGTGCAAGGATGCATCCCCACTGTTGTCAGAAGAATTTAACTGGCAGCTATCACCCAGATCCGCAAAATGGTGTGCCAAGGGCATGTTCTCCCTTGAAATAATAGGAGGAGGAAGCCTAGGATTCAAGTTGATATTAGAGCTGTAGTAAGCAGAATAGGAGGGATCAGCACGTATCTGCTCTTCAGACTGCCAGTTTTGCATGGCACTGTCTAAGCTTGCCAAACTCAATTTCCGGCCAGAGCTTTGATCATGGACAAGGTTACCAAAGGCTGAAAATGAGCCTTCCATACTTGGAGGCGCACTACCACTACGATTTGGAGCCTTATTTCTATTATGCCCATGAATCTTATGACCTTTAAGAAGCACTCCCAGTTCATCAGCTGCCACTTCATTCCTAGGGGACACAAAGGAGACCATGTCCTTGGAAGGAACCCACTTTTCTGTTCTACTGTCTTCGAGTATTCTCATAGGGCTCTCGGTTGCCATACTCAAGAGTAAGCAAACATATTTTAGCAACAAAAGTTTTCAGACATTTTATCCGAAGCCTTTCATCAATATCACATTAGGAGTTGACTCTAGACACAAAAGATGCTAAGCTGCGACGGCTACATATAATCTCTGGCAACTGCAATGGCAGATTTAGATCATAACCTATAGGGAAATAGAAGAAAATGTTTTTGTCAAAGAAAAAGAACAGGAAACAATTCACTCTCTCCAAGATTAAATGCAGTGAGATTTATTATAAATAGGGATGGATAGATATATTTATTTAGGGACCAGTAGAGTACACAAACACAAAATTTACTTGCTATATCTAAGTATTCGCCATGTGGTCAGAACTCACAATCTACCCTTGACCAGAGGAGAAAATGATTGATGATAACATTGATACCTATGTCCACCAGCCTTACATAGTTAACCTATTAGATAATAGAAAAATAAATGACGGTGCAAGGTTTCCAAACTTCTCAAGAGTGGTCAGCAAAGCTTGAACAACCGTAGTTAGTTTTGAAACTTACAGCTTTTGTTTTCCATTTTATCCATAAAATTCCATTTTATTCATAAATTTTCATTTTTCTCTTTTAGTGATTTAAAGAACCTGAATGGTTTAATTGCCTAAATAGAAGTGTATTTGGTCTATGATACCCGGAATAATTGTGAAGCTTTATTTTGCATATTAATGTCCAATCCCATAAAAAATGCCACCAGAGACTAATATAAGAAACATTACTACGACAAAATGCATAATTCCCATTAGAAACCGCACAAAAGTTCCTGCTTGTAAGATGCTATCCCAAATTACTACGCTCCGCGATGATACCGTATCAGCAGGATATTTGGCACCCAAAAGGAAAGCTACGCGAGTAAATAGCTAAAAGAAAGCATACACACACAATTTGGACAAAATATCAACAACAAAAAAACGACTATAAGTCACCAAAGGTGAATTAAAAAAAAAAATCAAAAGATAATTGAAAAACAGCTATTTCAATAAAGCAAAAACCTTTAGACCCAACGGCTCTGGTAGAATCGCATGCTAATCCTGATAAGAAGAAAGAAGACAGGGCAGGGGAGAGAGAGTACAAGAAAAACAAGGAGTAGAGTGAGTCAAACTGTAACATAAGAACCCTAGTAAACTAACCAACAACACACACTTGTGTAGAGTAGAGTGTAAGTGAAGTGATTACAGACCTGCAGGAGCTGCTGACCGACCACAAGGAGAGAGTCTGCTACAAAACTTCCCGACAGTGCGTGATGATCAATTCCAGAGGCAGCACGGAGCTATACTTAGAGGAGAGAGAAAGAAGGAAGAAGAATTGAAGAGTTTTCTTGTTTGTTTAAAATTAGATTACAAATGTCGCTTGTAAAACCCCACCACGGGGTTTGAAAAATCCTCTCTTGCTCTATTCTTCCACTATTTTATTATACACGTACCAATTTGTCCAAAATGAAACTAAATGACGTTTATACCCTTTTTATAAGACTTAGTATTATTTCTAATATTTCTTATTCCGCATACACATTCAGGATTTAAATTTAATATGCTCTTCATTATACTGTATTATAGGTTTAAATCTCATATTTGTTAAGATTTTAATAAATTTATATTTATATAATATTATACTATATATCAAAAACTATGAATCCGAATAAACCTAAAAGGCTATATTTGAACTTGCACGCGCATCTGGAACTATTTTCTAGGAGACACCTTACGCCGAATCATTTCTACTATAGACAAAAAGATGGTTGCCGCGAAGCTAATCCATAATCTTTGCTTTTTATAATTTTTAAATGAAACAGAGAATCACTAGATAACATAGTTGAATGATATTAGTGTTTTTTTTTCCTAGTACACACTTCCTTTAGTTTAACTTACCTAAAACGTAAAAAGACAATTTACTTTCAACACCATTGGTTGGTATATGACAAATTCGATATCGTACATTTTAAAATATAATTTTTTTTTTTATCATAGAAAAGAGAAATTTTAACACTATTCATATATCATATAGCAACACGTGGTCAAATGTATGACTTACAAGAGATACAAATAGAATATTAAATCTTCACTTACATTATTTTACACTCACAGATATTGAACTCTAAAACACCACTGGTAAGACGCCCAAATTTTTTGATGATTTCTCAGTGAGGTAGATGGTTTGGTTAACTACTTGCAATAAAATATCCATTTATTATCATGTTTTTGTTAGACTATAAAATATGGCTTTGTTTTAATCGAGTATGGACCAAGTTGATGGTCCGCATTTGCTAAATTTTCACTCTGCATGCTACAATATTCATGAACAATGCAATAACTTCGTGTGTTTTTCCCGTTATCTAGAGTCTTTGAACTTGTCTATGTATTTGTTAATATCCAATATAAAATCTTTTACTAAACAAATTACAACCGTTGGATGAAAATATTGCTCGCTACGATAAATGAAAATTAGTATGAAATATTAATAGCTTTAATATTTACTCCTATAAGATATTAGGAAAGCTGCATTAGGTTAATTTGTAATAAATGAAGTATTATCGCAATTTTACTAATGTATACGGTCGAAATAGATTTCGACATTCGCACGTCCAATCGAGTTCGAACGATGATTGATCGAAGTGAGATTCCGAAGATGGAACAAACAAGCCTCGAACCCGAGGGGCCGATCCATGTCGAGTTCGACATCGTTATGGAGCTCGAATCCAAATCGAAATATGATGTAGAGTAAATCTATCATGCCTATGATCCAGAGACCAACCAACATTGACCCCGAATCAATTCGAGAGCTCGAGTCAGAATCGAGCTTGAGCCAAGATCGAGAGTTCGAGTCAGAATCGAGCTCAAACCAAAATCGAGGGCTCTAGGCAAGATCGAGCTCACAGACAAAAGCCGTTGCAATCCCACTAGAGAGAATCTTGGCAGAAATTGTGAAAAAGCTAATTTATCATGGGTCTCCCACCGAGTATTTTTTTATTATTCGTAGAGCAAAGTCTCTTTACTATAAAGGGCATGGTTATCATTTCTGTAAAGGCAAGTTTTTCAAGGCTTATATTGTAATAAAAATACTATATTCTCCCATAGTAAAGAATCATTCTTTCAGGCTTCTTAAATTGATTATACTTGTTGAGTTCTAAGGTTCATTTTCTTTACAACCTTATCTATTTTGCATTCTTTGCAATCCATATTTATATTTCTATTTATCCTTACAATTTATATTAAGTTGCGCCACATATCCTTGGAACTGCGTATAAATTCAACTCTATCCATTTTTCGGGTAAACAGTTTGGCGCCCACTGTGGGGCCAAGGATAACTGTGGTTATTTGATACAAATCTGAAAAAAATACGCCATTGTGTTTTGCGCTTGTTTCCGAAAAAATCTTGGATTTCGGATTAGCTACGACTAACCATCGATCAAATGGCTTCACTGATCGATAACGGGGTCGGTCTTCAAGACGAAAATAACAACTTGACACCCAGTACTGAAAGACCACTTGTGAACACCATTGGAGCTCGAATCGGAGCGCCAATTGATATCAATTCGCATGTAGCCATTGAGGCGAACCTACATGCTGAACCCGAGAATAACATCCATGGTGGCACTCGATCTGCGGTTTGAGATGCCCATAACGACGAGGAAAACGGTGTTAGCTTGCGTATGATTTTCGAAATGTTGCAAGCCCAACAGGTAGCAATAGCTCAGTTGCATAGCCAAACCCGGCTACAAAGCAGGCCGGAGCCTATCCACCCCGAGAAATCACCCACAGAACAGAACCAGCCATAGTAAAGTCAAATGAGCAAGAATCGGGGACTACTCCCGAAATTGATAAATTGCTCGAGGAACTCACAAAGCGAGTCGAAGCCAACGATAAAAAAGTAGAAACTTATAACTCTAGGGTCGATCAGATCCCGGGAGCTCCACCAATGATAAAAGGGTTGGATTCGAAAAAATTCGTGCAAAAACCTTTTTCCTCGAGCGCAGCCCCGAAACCAATTCCCAAAAAATTCCGTATGCCCGAAATTCCCAAATATAACTGAACGACAGATCCCAACGAGCATGTTACTTCTTACACATGTGCCATCAAGGGCAATGATTTAGAAGACGATGAAATCGAATCTGTATTGCTAAAAAAATTCGGAGAGACCCTCTCGAAGGGGGCAATGATTTGGTATCACAACCTACCGCCAAATTCCATCGACTCGTTCGCCATGTTAGCAGAATCTTTTGTGAAAGCACATGTCGGTGCCATAAAAGTCGCAACGAGGAAATCGGACCTCTTCAAGGTAAGACAAAAAGATAAAGAGATGCTGAGGGAGTTCGTATCTCTTTTTCAAATGGAACGAATGGACTTGCCACCAGTCACACACGATTGGGCTGTTCAGGCTTTCACTCACGGTTTGAACGAGCGAAGTTCGACGGCTTCACGACGATTAAAGCATAACTTGAATGAATACCCAGCCATCACATGGACCGACGTACACAATTGGTACCAATCGAAAATTAGGGTCGAAGATGATCAATTGGGGTCTGAACCCGCTGTTTGAAGGGATACTAATCGGGAACGAGGTCCGATTGGGGATCGATACCAACAGTACAATGAAAGTCACAAAGTCAGTAAATCGAGACATAACCTTAGGCAAAATGCCAAAAGAAGTGACCGAGGTCAAGGGTCCCGAGGGCTGATAAATAGAAGTAGTTTCGATAGGCCTACCGGATCTAAGGAAGCACCTCGGTAATCGAAATATAACTTCAGCGTTGATGCATCCGCCATCGTATCGGCTATCGGACGCATCAAAGACACTAAATGGCCTCGACCTATGCAGACCGATCATGTCCAGAGGAATCCCAATCAAACGTGCGAATATCATGGCTCTTATGGCCACAGAACGGAAGATTGCAGGCAACTAAGAGAAGAAGTAGCCCGGTTATTTAACAAAGGGCACCTTCGGGAATTCTTGAGCGATAGGGTGAAGAACAATTTTAAAAACAGGGATTTTGGCAAGCAAAACGAACAAGAAAAACCATAGTATGTCATTCACATGATCATCGGCGGCGCCGATACCCCTCAGGGACCAGTGCTTAAACGCACTAAAGCATCGATTGTGAGAGAAAAGCAATCTCGAACTCAAGATTACACACCCATAGGAACTTTGTCCTTCAATGATGAAGATGCAGAAGGAGTCATACAACCTCATAACGATGCACTGGTAATATCCGTACTCATGATTAAAGCTAAAGTTAAGCGTGTGTTGATTGATCCAGGTAGCTCGGCCAATATCATCAGATTAAAGGTCGTAGAATAGCTCGGCCTACAATACCAGATCATACCCGCAACCCCGATTCTAAACAGATTCAATATGGCATGTGAAACCACCAAAGGCGAGATAATTCTACCAATAAACGTGGTCGGAACTATCCAGGAAGCGAAGTTTCACGTGATCGAAGGCGACATGAGATACAACGCCCTTTTTGGAAGGCCATGGATCCACAAAATGAGAGTTGTACCTTCGACCCTACACCAGGTCCTCAAATTCCCAACATCGAGAGGAGTCAAAACAGTGTACGGAGAACAACCAGCCGCGAAAGAAATGTTCGTCGTCGAGGAAGCAAAACCAATATCCTCGCCTTCGCTAGTAACGGGATCGGGCTCAGAAGAGGAACGAGATACCAAATAGCAATCACAAACATCGGCTTTGACCGAACTAGATAACCAGAAGATCGAAGAAAATGATGATCAGAGGATCCCTCGATCCTTCGTGATTCCCGATGACTCCGACACCACCAAATCAACAATTGAGGAACTGGAGCAAGTCATACTAATCGAGCATTGGCCTGAACGAAAGGTATACCTGGGAACGGGGTTGAGCCCCGAACTCAGGAAGAAACTTATTCAATTTCTTATCGATAACATTGATTGCTTTTCCTGGTCCCATTTAGATATAACAGGAATCCCATCGGACGTAACGACGCATCGGCTAAGCTTGGACCCTAAGTTTAGACCGGTGAAGCAAAAGAGAAGATCCCAGTCTGGGGTAAAACACGCATTCATAAAAGACGAGGTAACCAGACTTCTCAAGATAGGGTCCATTCGGGAGGTGAAATATCCCGAATGGTTAGCTAATATAGTGGTAGTGCCTAAAAAAGGGAACAAATTTAGAATGTGTGTGGGCTATAAGGATTTGAACAAAGCATGCCCCAAAGATTCTTTTCCGCTGCCCAACATCGATCACATGATCGATGCCACGGCCGGTCACGAGATCCTCACTTTTTTCGATGCATATTCCGGGTATAATCAAATCCAGATAAACCCGGAGGACCAGGAAAAGACTTCATTTGTCACCAAATATAGAACATATTGTTATAATGTGATGC